TTGATTTGAGCATACATCCTCGATACGAGTCTCGAGGCAACGCTTCGCCGCTTCGAATTAAGGGGTGAACCTAAAGGAGTACTCTCTACCCTTAGGGTTGATCCACGGGCAAAACACAGAAAGGGAGTAAGAAATGGAATCGCGAAGAGTAAAACGTGTAATGCTCGAGAAACGAGATTCGAGAATGGAAAATGGAAGAGATGTGGAACGAAGAGAGGTAGAAAGAATCCAACAGCAGATACGCATACACTACGGGGCAAAAGTTTCGAATCACCTACCAATTTATTACACATCAATATTGGAATCTGTTACTAATTTTTGTATAGATTCGAAATTGATTGTGTGGAGATCAATAGCACTTTACTTAATTTCCATTGATTTGAATGATAAAATTTGTTAAAAAATTCTTAAAATTGAAAAACGTTTTTCTGGAAATTTTTCTGTAACTTGCAATGCACAGTAATTTTAAACATTTAGGCGGTAGTATACGAAACGAGGAAGAAACCCGTCTCGCGATACTTATTTTCTATTGCTTTAAGTAGAAAAGGTGAGGATTATCGTTCTTAGTAATCATGGAATACCGATAGAATTTATCCGATTAATTGTGTAATCCTCGTAATTGGATTCCTCTTATAAATAAGTACCTTTTGGTGACTGAATTTCATCCACCTTGTGTATTGTTACATGTTCGGTAATGAAAGGTACAGTATGCGTAATTATACAGGGTGGCCCATGTGAAACAGGTCACTTAATTATCTTCTCTAACTACGGTGGTAGAAGGAAATTTTTTAGACGTAATTTAAATGATTTCAAAGTGTGAATAAGATGGAAGAAAAATTTTTCACAATTGCCATTTTTTCTATTCTTTTTTCTAGGTTACCTGTTTTTCTTTTGCACGAATGTATATATTTTTCTCTACTGTATGTTGAAGCAGACATTGCTATGTATTCATTTCGTTTTTTGCCATTTTTTCCATCAAAAAAGTTTTTCTTCCATTTTGTTCACTTTTTGAAACAATTTAAATGGCATTTAGAAATTTTCTCATACCGCCATAGCTAGAGAAGATAAGTAGGTGGCCTGTTTTATACGACCCACCCTGTACAATTAGACATTCCTTTAAGTTTGAAATATTCTCACGATTAATCTTTCCTTAAAAAACGAGTAAATTTTTAATTTTTTTCTCTTTTATCTTCTACTTACACGTTCAGCTTAATAATCATCTTCAAATCTACATATCACATAACTAAATCACAATGTTATCTGATAAAGAAATCGTATCTTCGCCGTGTACAACGTTGTGAAGTTGAAACGCAGCCATCAAGGGAAATATTTTGAATGAAATATAACTGAGGACAAAAGCACTCGTAATGTTATGCGTATAGATGAAACTGTTCACTTCGTTGGAATATGGGCACCCTTCGTCCTTTCGGTCGTATGTAATATGAGCCGACGTACAGCTTCGAGACAACGTGCAACTCTTACAATATTGTCATAAAAATTTACCGTGAATATCGCGGTGTAATATGCAATATTACGACGTTAAATTGTTATAACAAGATATTGCGTCTACATCGTGTCGAAAAAATCGGTAAAACATACCTAAACGATACAACAAACTTGTGAAACAATCGAAGTGAACTTTCTGATCTTTAATTTTTATAGTTCTTCTATGTTACCATTTGTTAAGATAGAAGAAATGGAAAAGAATGAAAAGAAGTTTCACATTTGATTGAAAATTTCAGAGTGCATAGTCATTTCAAGGTTATATTATTATGCGTGCTTAAATGCACATCGATGTCTGTTACAACACACGTTAGAAAAACATATATACATTCAAGTAAAAAAACATAGGCGATCTTGAACAAAACACAAAAAATTTGTTTTCCACCTTATCCACCCTTTGAAACCATTTAAATTACTTATAAAAATATTCTCGTACCACTGTAGCTAGAGAAGACAATTAAGCGGCCGGTTTAACGTGGTCCATCCTATACACCTGCTACTGCAGGTCAACACTGATAAACGTATTTTAATCCTTCTTTGCACAAATAGTGTACGCATCTCCTAAGAACTTCAACTATCGCGCGAAATTCAAATGTAAATATTAAGAAATCTCCTATATCCAGTTCGCTCTAAACCAAAGTAAAAACAACGTTCTAATTTCCTGATACTCGAAGCCTTAACCATTATTTCCAAGAAATCGGTGGTCAATGTTAACCTTCACGAGGCATGGAAACGTTAAGCAGACACGCGGATCGTGTGTACATGGAAATGGTATAAATCAGAAGAAGTAAAATGAATAAGCGCAAGAAACATCTCCGAAGTGTACCAGAAAACAGTGAATTCCGAGAGTGTATAAATCGAAGGAGGTTGAAATTCGATTCCTAGCAGGCCCAACAACACACACACACACACACACTCAACGCTCTCGCTCTCACTCACGCTGGAATTAGTTCGAGCAACGAAACAAACAGAGAGTGGTACAAAGGAGGAAATCCGAGAAAGAAGCTTCTAAGAGACTAACCTTTGCATTCGTTGGCATCTCTGGCTGTGGCTCGTGCCCAGGGTCGATCGAAATGGAACGGCCGACACCTCTCGCAATCCCTGCCGGCGGTGTTGTGCCTGCATTCGCAGGCGACCTCGCCGTCCTTGCCTTGGATGCACCTTGCTGCGTGGCCGTTGCACTTACACCTGCCGCCGACGGCGAAGTCCGAGACGGCATAGTGATGAGCGAGCGTGCTCGTGCCGGGATTGTTCGCTAGGCTGCTGCTGCCGCTGCTGCTGGTCGTCGTCGAGAGGGTGATCGTGGCGAAGCTACTCTCGCCGCCACCGTCCACCGCGTCGTTCGATTGCATCTCTTGCGGCGCGATCACTTGGTGAACCGATGGTAAAGCCGTGGCGAGAGGATCTATCGAACCACCGCGAAGAAGCGGACCTTTCTGACTCTTCAATCTCTCCTCTCGTTCTCGTTCACGTTTCGCCAATTCCTCGAGGCCAAGACCGTGATCACGATCATCACCGGTACCACCTAACTGCGAGACTTGTTCCTGAGATGGTTGCTGCGGCATGTGAAGTCGATTGAAAACAACACGAACGTCGGTGGCGGTAACCCAATCTTGAAGAACCGGTGAATTGTCGAAGTCGGAGGCCGACGGGCGACCTTCGAGGGTGCTGAATGCGATTCTGCCAACAGGCGCGAGACCGTTACCGCCGGTGTATCGATGGCTGTCGGTACATCTCGCTTCTTGCTCGTTCGCTTTGGTGATAGTTGCACGATTCGGTCTACCGTAGACACGACGACACTGGGACGAATAAAACTGGAAAGGTTGCCACGTCTTACCGTAGTCCATTGACTTGTAAATAGCGATAGAGTCTGGCTTCGCTGCCTTTGGACAGAATTGCAGGCTAACGTAGGTCAGTTCGTATTTCTTTCCTAGAGAGAGGGTCAAGGTCACGTTGTCTGGCGGCGCAGAGAAACTCTGAGACGTGACGAGCGGTTCGCTACGCCAACAGGTCACGTTGTTGGGGTTGCTCACGTCCGTTAGGTAGCTCGCGGGGAATCGACGTCGCGGTGTACTGTCGTCGCAGATATGGCACTGACCTATACCCGTGCTACCACCCGGTTGCTCGATCACGTCGCAGTATCTCGTGGGTCCGCCGCTTCCGCAGGTCGACGAAGCTTCCACTGCTGCACCGAACGCGGCGTTCACGAAATTTGGTATACATCGTCGCGGTCTGTCCTCGTCGTAACACGGATCCGATGGATGTTGCTGGCTTGGAAATGTCTTCGCGTAAATTTCACTGCCAGCCAATGCGCTTCCGTAACCAAATAGAACAATTCCGGAGAGGATTCCGAGTATCCGCGCCGCTGCTGCTCGATTCTTTTTCATGTTTGCCGGCGGTGTTCGCGCGCGCGAGTACCGATCTTTTTCTCTCTCTCTCTCTCTATGTCTCTCTCTCCTTCGTTCTTTCTATCTTCTTCCTCCTTTCTCGCCCTCCTTTCCCTTTTGTTTCTCTTGGCTCTCGCCTCCTTTCCCCTCCTCCTGCCCTGGAGACTCTTACTGTTTCACCTACGCACAAACTGTCCTTGTTTCCTTCGAGAATTATTTCCTCGCTCTATTCTTCTCTGGTAACGGAAGAACGACGAGGGTAGTGATCTCTCTCGGTGATCTTCGACACAATCCTTCTTGCTTGCCCGATCCTAGCGAGTTTCAAACGCCGATCCTACGCTTCTTCTCTCCTGTTCATCGTGTCGAACTTGATCGACTTAACCTTTCAGAATATCGATACCAACCGCGACTCTCCCCCTTCGACTTTTCCTCGGATTCGCATTATATCGAGGTTGAGTCGTTGTGAAACTGTATAGATTCCGGCGTGAACCACGCGTTCTTCCCTCTAAGAGGTTAGTTTGAAATTTGAAATTTCGTTGGAAACACACGGTGTCGCTGTTCTTCCGACGCGAGAGACAAATTTTCATACACGGTGTCGACGATACAACCTTTAGGAATTGATCAGGCTTCGATATATATCACACATCGAACGAGATACCTCAGGTGTATTCGATTTTCAGGAAGAACGAGTGTGACAGTTTCATGCCTAGACGAGTCGAATAATAATTTAACGAGGTAGCGGAGAGCGCGTGTACACGTGACGAGTGTGCGTTTTAACCGAATAATATCTGTTAGATAGGACGCGATGCGGGAACGACACGCTGCTTATAACCGGAACGATAAACCAACAACAATAATCCTCCACCCACGGCGGCTCGCCGCTAACTGAATCACTGTCCTTGCACGGTGTGCATCCGAACTGTTCCGAGTCCCTCTCTGGTTCGCAGTCCTCCCCACCCCAGCCCTTCTCCGGCTCAGCCGAGTCTCCCTCTCTTTTCGCTTTGACCGTCGGCTCGCATCCTCTCATCCAACCAATTCCTCTTCGGCCAATCCGGCTACGCCACTACTCGCGACGACCCCACTACTCGCGTTCCGCCACACTGGATCGAGGATCCAGCAGCCACACCGTGCTACCGGAAACCAACCGACCACTGGACCAACAGACGATATTCTCTTCTCATCTCTTCTCTTCTCTCCCTTCGCTCTCTTCCTTCTTCCCTCTTCCGTCTTCTTTCTTCTCTATACTCTTTCGCCTCTTCTCTTCTGTTTTCATCCCTTCTACCGTTTCTTTCCTTCTCACATCTCTTCTCGTCTTCTCACGTAACTCTTCTCCTCTCTTCCTTCTTATCTCTTCTCCTTTCTTCTCGCTTCTTTTTTTTTATTACCTTCTCTTCCCTTCTTTCTCCTCTCTTCTCTTCTCCCGTATCCTCTCTATTCTCTTCTCTCTTCACTCGGTTCTTCTTGGGAAAAATCGGTGCGACATAACCTCTACAGCCTTGCGAGATATTTCAGATAGAATTAGCGCTAATTCCGATTAACATTCTATTTTCTCGTATTCTCGCCCGGATAATTCGTTTGTTATCGTTTCTTTTTGACTGTGCACTTTGAAACGCTAATTGACGAAGACGTTTCAGTTCTAAGCTCAACCTTCGAGTTTTTATGTGCGTGTGCGTATTAAGGTGTCGATATTTTAAATTATCTTTGTCAAGTTTTATGATTGAATTAGAAATTTTAATATTCGGTTAATTTTCTATTAATACTAATTCGAATAATTACTTAAAATTTCAATTGTTTAATAAATACTTAATTTATCAATCACTCAAATTCTTCGTTAGAATTGTGTTACATTACGTAACGTTCTAATTCACAAACAATGTGTAATATAGTAATATTTAAAACGAAGTATTGCATTTCATGTTTCAAATAAATCAATTCAGGCAACAATTTATTTTCACTCTATTCTCGAGAGACGCGAAATAAAAATTTAATCCAACATATCCATTGATATCCAAAATAAAAAAGCTGCATTCTTCACTTCGAAAAAAGTGTTTTCGAATTTTTATAATCCTCGATCAACGTGAATACTTTAAAAGCAATATTTTTGCGTAGGAAATAAAAAGTTACCTTAAATTTCCTTAAATTAGTCGTTCCTGTAATTTTATTAAGCCCATTAAAAATCTCTAATGAAAATTAAACCGAACTTCGACTAAACACACGCATAGTGTGTTTCGTTTCCCAAAAAACAACCGTAAAAGTTTGTTCGCCACGCAAGAAATTTAATACTTAACTTAAAATTAGTACAGCATATTTAGAGAAAGGATTAAAGTAGATATTGAGTTTTCAGGAATATTTACCGATGCAAATATTATTCAAAATTCCCTCCATATTGTTTTACACGTAACTCGGTCCCAAAAATTTCACTATCGTACACTTCACAGAGAATTTCGTGTTTCTAACGATTCGAATGCTAAAACAATCTTCTCCTTTAAGTCTTCGAAGTTCTGCAATCTTCAGAAGGCAATATTGATTTTCAATCGAACTCCAAAATTGAATTTCACCATACCCACAAATTTTCGCAATGATTTTTCTCGAAAACGAAGCTTTATCGATAAAAATTTTCTTCCAAACTTCCGATTTACTTTTTCTTCGAGAATCACACCTTGTTCGTTATAATTTAAAAAATGTTACTCTTACAACTACGGTTTCTTATGGCAAAAAAAGGCTATTTACACTAATTGTCGTAATTTCGTTTTTCAAAAAAATTTGCATATACTGTTTCATGAAAATCATGCTATTGTTACCTACGTCTTTTATTAATTATTTTACAAGCTAGAAATTTATTACAGAATAATTTGAAAATCTGCCAACATATTACAATATTCAGATGGAAAAAATTCTGACTGTACATGTGTATTAAAACATGAAAAACTGTTCAGACCTAAACAGAAAAGAATTTAGATCAAAGCTGAAAAATGCATCTTTTAAATAGCAAATTGCAATTAATTTAATTTTAATCATAATTTCTCGTTCAGAAAATGAGCCACTCAGAAGGAAAAATGGTTAACTCCACTTTTCGATATTCTTCTAATTTCAGTAACGAAGCACATGCTTAGTGCTTAATTCTTCATAAATGAAAAAAATTTAATAAATCTAATTTCATGGTTTTAGTCACTTTGGCTTCTGAATGGCTCAAATATAAAAGTATATAAAAATGCTGATGATATTATCTCGCTGATTTAATACGAATCTCTTC